GAGGTAGAGTAACCAAATGGCTGGCTCACTGCTGCCAACTAGTGGTCAGAGGCTGAACTACAACATAAAAATGAACGGCTGGCAGGAAAATTGACATTTTAAACCTTAATAAAAAAATCGATACAGGGCTTTAGAATATTGACACAGTATCGAGAAATGAATTATCGCGATATTTCAGTGTATCGATATTTTCTTACAACGCTAATCCTGAGAGTTTCCACAATTCACAAAACTGAAAAAAAAAAACATGTCAGATTTATTGATTTATTTTCAAAATATGCTGACTGAATCTGGCCCCCGAACAGATTTGTTTTTGTTTTCTTCATTTTCTTGTGAAAATGAGTACAACACCTGTTCTGTGTTCTGTTTAATCCAAAAATGTGTACAAATGTCTTTATATATTAGAAATTATGTTAAAAAAAATGCAGTGCTTGCATGTAAATACAAATGTTGGGGGAAAATATAAGTTGTTGGCAAACATCGCTCAACCATTTGCATAAAGAAATCATTTAAACCTAATAAATATAAACTACAGGTAAACTTAATGAACTCTGCCCTCCTGCTGCCCACCTTAGATCCCAGCAGTGTTTCAGTTAAAGCAACTACAGTCAGGCAGCAGTGATGCAGACCCCTCTAATCTGAGAAAAAGACACATTTCTATTAGAAAACAGAATAAAAACGCGAGCAGAGCTGCTCAGCTGAAGCAGAGGGGACCGCGGGTGCGCAGGATGTTGGAGAGCCATGTGCGTAAAAGCTGCTGGTTTTTGTTTTGAAAGGGAGCTTTAAATCCAGCAGAACATGTTTATTTATGTCAGAGTTTTAATGTCTTAAATGAAGTGCAGTTTGGAGACTTTAAATAAGACAAGTCGATCAGATCAGCCTTCAACGCATGAGCTCACTTTGACTTCAACCTTTAAACATTTCAAACAAACACCACATGCAGGAAACAGCTGCGTGTCCTGGTGAGATCTGGAGCAAATATCACCCAAATAAGAGCTATGAATTCAGTTGCAGCGCGTGCAAGCTGTCGCATGCCCGATTCTGGTTTTACACCACTTTTACGCGTCAGGATCCAGAAGTTGTTTGTCCGACGCGCAGAAGCGTAACTTTGGTGACGCCTCCGAATTTGTTCGGGATTTACTCTGACAAAGAGGAGAGGAAAGGATGAACTCACCGGTGTCAAAGGGACTGAAAGCCGCAGAGGAAATGAAGGCAGCGAGGAGGAGCGCAGAAGTGACGGTCCAGGAGGAATCCATGCTGAGAGTTGAGTCTGAAGTGGCTCTCAGGTGGACCGGTCTGATGCGCAGGATCCACGGATCGGGTCGGCTGTCTAACCCTGTCGGTGCAGGAGTCCCGGCGTTTTGTTCCCCTCAAAGAGCCGGACTTTAAAAGGCAGGTACAGCAGCCACTGCGACTCTGACAGCCCACAGCAGATAGTAGAAAACACGGATCCTATTTCCAGCCCATGTGACAGGAAGCAGGGGCAGAGAGGACTGAACCTGCAGCTGAGGAGACAGCAGAGACAGCCGAGGAGGAGGAGGAGAGAGGGGAGGGGTGGAGGTGGGGAGGTGCAAAGAAAAAAAAACTGCAGATAAAAATCTAATCTCACAGGAGTATCTTTTAGAAAGTTTTCCAAAAAGTCTAAACTGTTTTTTTTTTTTTCTTTAGTTACTGCAGAAAGAGTAAATCCAACAGAGGAAACTCTTGCTGTGTTTCCCTCCACAAAACAACAACACTGATTAACTTGAGCCAAAATCATCCTGGTTGCCTTTATTTATTTTTATTTTTATTTATTTTTTTGTTTTCTGTTTTTCCTGTGGAGCCCTCCTGCCTGTTCCATGAAGTCCATCATGATTCGAAATGTAAATCTCTGTGATCAGAAAGACACCCTGACCTGAAATGAAGCGTTGTTTCAATGAGCTGGAAACAAATTTATGTGTCTGTATGCAAACTTCACAGAGAAGTAAACAGTTTATACTTCTCAGCATGAGGATCTGAAGGATTTGCACCTGGATCACAGCAAACCCCTCAGTTTCATACAGACCAGGATCTTTGATTTTTAACCAGTCTGGGTCCAGACAGGAATTCATTTGGACCTGATCCTGTCATAAAGGAGACACATCCTGCTTTTAAACCCTTCTTTTTCACATTTAAACCCCTCAGTTGGGGTCTATATAAAGTGGAACTGCAATGCTTTGGTCTGAATTACCCCTTATTGTAACTCCACAAGCTCCGCCCCTTTTATGGGGTGTGTCTCAAATCAACTCGTTTTGAGGCAGTCTCTTTAAATTCTTCTTTTTCACATTTAAATCCTTCAGTTGGGATCTATACAAAGTGGAACAGCAATACTTTGGTCTGAATTCCAACTTATTGTGACTTCACAAGCCCCGCCCCTTTTCTAAGGCATGTTTCAGATCAACTCCTTTTGAGGCTGCCTCTTTAAATCCAAAGGACAGACTTCATACCCTGCCCCTCTCCAGCTTCCAGACTGGTCTAGAGGGGTTTATGGCTATATAGCTGCGCAGAAACATTATTTACAATTTAATTAAAAGATGTCAACAAGAGAAGCCAGAGTCTAACTCAGAACCAGAGAAGAATTAAGACCACCAATTTACAGTTGGTAAATCCAGACCTTATTAAAATTTGTTGCAAATAATTTGACATAATAGTTCAGAAAATAATAGAAAATGAAAAATATGACCTAAACAGAATATGACATCTTTGCAGCTCCAGGAGAGACTAAATTGAACTGTTCTGCCTCTTAGAGACTCCAAGTCCACAACAAAATGCATTTAACAGCTAAAAAGGTGGGTTTTACAAATGTCTCCTTTAATGCTTAGAAAAACAACCATCAAAATTGTCTCATTTGTGAAACAGATTCCAGCTTAAATTCTTTTTTTCATTTATTTGCTAAAAAATACTTTTAAAAAATTTGCAACACTACAGAAATCACACACAGAGTGCAACCACTGCAATAAAATATTTCTTTAAATGTTAAGACAGACTCCTCCTCACAGGACAGAAACAGGTGCACAGTGTGCAAAAGCTGATTTCATGACTTCTCACACGTTTTATTTATTTATTTATTTATTTATTTATTTATTTATTTATTTATTTATTTATTTATTTATTTTTACCAGACAGGAAATCTGAGCTGTGTGTGTGAAACAGCGCCCTCATGTGTTTCACACAGACATCTTCTCACACAGAGGACAAGAGTCAGTGCAAAAAAGATCAGCCACTTAACTCAAAAATAGCCGAGCGAATATGACCTCACCAGTCCTGCAGAAGAAGAAAAAAGAGAAAGAGAGATTCAACGTTTATTTTTCCAAAAGCGGCGGGGTTAAAACGAGGCGTGCTGGGAAAGTAATCCGGTCTGACGTGTGCCCTTTTGAGAATTCTAAGTGCATGGCCCTGAGGTAAACCGGCTGGTAGGAGCTTTACTCGCTCTGAACGTCTGAAAGAAAGATGGTTTGCTTCTCCTGACAGTTTTACTAAAGCTGTGTTTACTGTTTGGTAACAGCTGAGATGAACAACACAGTCAGGATCCACCGCCCGACATCCTGCTGCCGCTCTGTGCACCAAATATCATTTGGACGATTAAAAAATCCAAATTTTGTGAGTTGTTTTGGTAAATCTTTCAGCAGTCCTGCAGTTAAACCTGCTACATCAAATCTGCAAACACCATGGATTTAATTTTATTATATATATGTTTCAAATAACTAATTACTTTTTTCTTCTTCATAACTGTGTCTAAGCAGGACCCCCCACACGAAGCGGGGGTCATATTGTTTTTGTAATCTTTATTTATTTATTTATTCAAGATATTTAGTCAACAATAAACAGCTGCACCGCTCAACATGACATTTGCCAGGACTGTAGATGAGTCTGACCTACACTGTGCCAGCCACCGGTTTTACGATAGACCCCATATTTGAGGAGGGGGCTCCAGCTGAAAAGGGGGTGTCTGGATATACAAAAATGCTTATAACTCAAAAACTATTCAACAGCTTCAGATTTGTTTTTGTTGTTTAGCTCTGATGAAGGGCTATCAATCGGGCCCACCAATGAGCCCCCACCCCAAGAACATGTTCAGGATGGTAACTCAGGAAATTCAGACTTCCATCCCTCCTCAGCCCCCCACCCAAAACAATGAATCTGTTCTGGTGAGTATTAATAACTTAATAACAACTTTATTTGTAAAGGGCCTTCAAACAAAGCACTGAACAGGAGATAAAATCACAAATAACAAGAGATGAATTCACAAAAAAGCAAGGATAAAATCACAGAAAACCATAAAAACATAGAAAGCAAGAGATAAAATTACAAAACAGATGAAAACAATTAAAAGGTAAAGTTAAGACAAGTAGGATAGTTTGAACAGGTGCATCTTTAACTTCGCTTTAAAAACCTCAACAGAACAAGCTTGCCCGATGTCCTGAGGAAGATTGTTCCACAGAGAGGGGGCACGAAAAGAGAAGGCACGTTCACCGATGGTCTTTCTTCTGGATTTAGGAATTATTAATAGGCCAGTACCTTCTGATCTGAGAGATCATGGTGGAACATAAGGGTGTAACATGTTGGTGAGAAATGAAGGCGCCAGGCCATTTAAGGCCTTGTCGGTGAGCAGCAAAACCTTAAAATCAGCTCGAGCCTGACGGGGCAACCAGTGAAGGGATGACAGTACATGGGTGATGTGGTCATATTTCTTAGAATGAGTTAAAATATGGGCGGCTGCATTCTGGACCATCTGCAAACATCTAAAACTTTTCCTGGGTAGTCCAGAAAGGAGAGAGTTGCAATAGTCGATGCGTGAAGTCACAAAAGTGTGGAGGAGGACCTCAGCATCGTTGAAAGAAAGAATGTGCCGGATTTTGGCAATGTTCCTAAGATGGTAAAAGGCGGTCCTAGTTACTAATTTTAAGTGGAAATCAAAAGAAAGCACCGGATCAAACCACACGCCTGGGTTTCTAACTGTTTCTTGACACCTAATGATCTTATCATCAATTTGCAGGGTAAAAACTTGAGACAATCCATGGAACTTCTTTGGACCAATGATCATTAAATCAGTCTTGTCAACGTTGAGGAGCAGGAAATTATTAGATAACCCACCCCTAATCACTGACAGACAGGCCTCCAAATTAGGCAAGTTGGCACAGTTTCCCACTGTGAAAGGCATGTACAGCTGTAGATCGTCAGCATAGCAGTGGAAAGTAACGTTAAATGAATGAAGGAGAAGACCAAGAGGCAAACGATATAATGAGAACAGCAGGGGGGCCAACACAGACCCCTGACGGACCCCATGCTTCCCAGTGCAGGTTGCAGAGAGCTTATTTTTAAAACAAACAGTCAGAGATCTACCAGTTAGATATGATTTCAGCCATGAGAGTATATCACCAGAGATTCCAATGTCATGTTCAAGTCTATCCAATAAAATACAGTGATCAACAGTATCAAAAACTGTGCTTAGATCTAATAGCAATAGGGCTAGAAGGATATTCATTGTCTGCATTTACCAATGTCATTTACCACTTTAGTTAAAGCAGTTTCTGTAGAGTGGTTAGATCCAAAAGCAGGCTGAAACATCTCAAACAAGTTATTAGCAGACAGATAGCTGATAACGTGCGGGGGTCATTTATGCTGCCGCCATGCTGTATCTGTTGTTACATCTAAATGTATTTTGTGTCAGCTGCAAGAAAAAACATTAAAACATTATTGTTGATCAATTTTCAGCTAAAATGTTTTTCTCCCTTCAGTATTTTGTGAGAACAATTAAAAAATTGTTGTCCTCACAGAAAAAGACTGCGTTCCAGACTGAATATTAACCACAGAGTGAATCAGACATATCAGTCTGTGCAGGGTTATATGTTTCCTTTGTCTTCTGTGTGTGTGTGTGTGTGTGTGTGTGTGTGTGTGTGTGTGTGTGTGTGTGTGTGTGTGTGTGTGTGTGTGTGCGTGCGTGCGTGCGCGCGCGCAATCACCACGCTTGTCCATACATGCTGCCTGGCCAAATTCCTTGTGGTCTGCTGGAGTTAACGTAATTCTCTTGTCTTTTTCCCCCTCTCTTTCCAGATAAACCTTGGCACTTTAACGCATTAAATACCTACTTTGACAGTTTGCATTTTTCCTCCCCTTTAGGTGAAATAATTAGATTCAAGTTCACTTTTTTTGTTTTCTAAATCTTCCGTGGATTCGCTCCCTGTTGCAGCGCAGAGACCGGAGGTCACGGTGAGACTGATCCACTGAGACGTGTCAGAAAACACCTCAGCATCCACCCCGGCCCTGCCAAAGGGAAGTTCTGCAGATTCTGACTTAAAGGTCAGCCCAGATGCTCCGAACTCACTAAACCAGGAGCCAAGAAGATGTCATCCTTTTTTAAGGGGAAACTATTTCTCCTTCCAGATTGTTCTTGATCTTTCAGAACTGTTATATTTGTAATACCTGCATGTATTACAATCTAGTCTTACAGACTTTGTATATAAATAAACTGAATTGAATTGTGTAATCGTTGAGCCGGTCG